TTTTTGTTTTTTTTTTAATGTATTATAATATAGCAATTAGGCTATGTTTGTAAAACAAACTACTCAATCCAAATTAATTCATACAAAAAATATAACTCAACTTTAACTCAACCCCACTATCCTCAATATTATCAATGTAATTAAATAATAACAACCAATCATTTTTACACATCATATCAATTTAATTCTCTATTCATCCGCTCAAATAATTTTAACTATATCATCTCTTTCCTACTTTTACATCAAATCAACATTAATTATTTTATTTTAAATATTAGTTTAATATAATCCCACTAACAACTAACTATACCACTTTTTCTAAATTAACCCTAGTTAACTAAAACAAACTCATTTTGAGTTAATTTGAGTGAATTTATTCTTTTACAAACACAGCCTTACAGAATTTGGCAATCTGCCTTTTGTGTGAGGTTGCAGCGGTTGTTAATGGCGTTAGTGCAATACACATTTTATTTAGCAGTTGGTGAAACATTACCAATTGAAAAATTCTTAATTTCCTTTTTTTATTCATAATTATAGTTAACATTAACTAGATTTCCTTAATTATCTACATTTGAGAACCTATTTTCCTAAAACCTAACAGATGCTGTAATGAAGTGGTCCAATTTTAAAGGTCTCCTTAATGCTAGTTTGGATTCTTTTTTCTCAGCATTTCCATAGTAGTATAGACTTGTGTCTTACGTTTCAATTGGTTATTTCCTTATTTCCGTATTTGGTTTGATCCACTGTGTACATTATTAAGATAAGCTGGTTTTCCTTTTAAGTTTAGGCCTCAAAAAGATAATCTGTATATTTTTTCTTTTTTGCAGAGTGCATCAATGTTGAATTTGCAAAGACAATCGAGGGGTCGGTCTTCCTTGAGTGGTCCTCGCAGGGGGTCTGTAGCTAGGTCTGCTTCATCAGGGAGATTGACAAGGCTGAGGAGTCGTTTTCCTGGACAAGCCCGTAGATTAGTATATTCTGGAGACTCATCTTCCATATTCCCTGAAGACATGGATGTTGAGATGGTAATAGTCTTGATCTGCATTTACTTGCTATTTTTATGTTTTCTTGTTTATTGGAGTCCAAAAATCCTCCTTTTAAGTTTGTTTTCCTACTGATACAACAACAACAAGCCGTTATAATCCCACTAAGTAGGGTCGGCTATAATGGATCACATGCCGCCATCGTGCTCGATCAGAATACACATCATCATCCAAACTTAAATATTTAAAATAATTTTTTATTGTTTCCTTCCAAGTTTTCTTAGGTCTACCAAACCCCTTTTTAATTTCCGTTATTAATTCTAATTTTTCTACCCTTCTCACCGGGGCCTCAAAGTCTCTCTTACGCACATGCCCAAACCATATCAATCGTGATTCTCTCATTTTCCTACTGATAATTGTGTTAATATATGTTGAGTATCCTCTGAATACGATGCAACCTTTCTATGCGTGAATGTTAACTCTCTGATGATAACAGCTGGCGTGATTATTCTCCTCTAAAGAAATGCTAGATGGAGCCACTTCATCACGGTTTGCTGGAGGGTTTTTTTTTTTT